ACTAACTAACTAACTAACTAACTAACTAACTAACTAACTAACTAACTAACTAACTAACTAACTAACTACTAACTAACTAACTACTAACTAACTAACTAACTAACTAACTAACTAACTAACTAACTAACTAACTAACTAACTAACTAACTAACTACTAACTAACTAACTACTAACTAACTAACTAACTAACTACTAACTAACTAACTAACTAACTAACTAACTAACTAACTAACTAACTAACTAACTAACTAACTAACTAACTAACTAACTAACTAACTAACTAACTAACTAACTAACTAACTAACTAACTAACTAACTAACTAACTAACTAACTAACTAACTAACTAACTAATTTTTTTAATTTGTGTCATTTTGTAAATTTATTTAAATCAAATTTAAGTTGTATATCATTACGTTTTTTCACTTTATGTCATAGAGTTGTTATTGGCTACTGGTAATTCACCTTAAACGAACGCTTAAATATTTTACAATATTTGAGGCGGCCACTTTTAGTGTAAAATATGCTTTGATTTTGCAAAAAGAAGTATTTTGTCAAATATCAAACATTTATTTGGCCATAATAAGAATTTTAATTATTTGACTGTCTTTGGGCCAATATCTCAACCTCCGGTTATCGTTTAACAGGTGGATATACTGTCGGTTAAAATAATTTTTGTATGTAAAACGTCAATTTATCGTTATGATAAAACATAATCAGACAATGAGAAAATGGGGGTTTAAGTTTCAATTATAAAATTTCTAGGGATGAAATCTTTCCTCCCGTCCTTCCTGTCGACTGTCATACATATACATATTTATTACATATTTATTGTTTCTCAATTATGTACATGAACTAGTTTAAATATACATATTTAAATGCACAAACACATGTTTAAGTGATTGTTTGCGTAATGTACCTGCGGGGTGCATATAATAAAGTAGCATGCAGTTCTTTAAGAAGTACCAATTATTTTGCCCCAAAGTATGCATGTCTTTTAGGAATAAGAAAATCAATTCTTGGAATATTCGAGAATTCGAGAAATTTTCAATGTTAAATTTCTTTTGTAAACGATTTGAATAACATGATTGAAGCTTTATTTAAATAGTTTGTTTTCGAAATTACACTTTATCTCCAGAGCCTCACAGATTTAAACATTTTTTATTGCAAAAAAGCCTTATTTTGAGAGAATTTTTTATTAGGGTTGTGTGTCTGTGCTGGTGAAAATGTAGGAGAATTTTTTTATTGTTGTGGCTTTTAAACCAGCTAAATACACAAATATGGATTTTATACATAAATACGTATGTATTACGTATTATATGTATGTCACGTAGACGATTTCAACATTTGACTTTACGCAATGCATATATGCACATGCAATTACAATTATTGTTGTTGCCACTATGAACATATATACATAAATATATATGTACAAATACTTATTTATAGATTTTGAATTACCTTATTTGCTAGTACTAAATAAACTGCCGTTTTAATTTAAATTAAATTAAGTATTAAAATAATATAATTAAGTATTAGGACAAAATTTTAATTTTATTAAAATTTTATATTTGAACAAAATTTGAAATTCAAAAGAAAATTGAAAATTTGGCACAAAATTGAAAATTTAATACAAAATTGAAAATTTAATACAAAATTGAAAATTTAGTACAAAATTTAAAATTAAGTACAAAATTTAAAATTTAGTACAAAATTTAAAATTTAGTACAAAATTGAAGTTTTAATATAAAATAAAAATTTATCACGAAGTAACAAAATTGAAAAATTAGTACAAAACTGAAAATTAAGTAAAAACTTAAAATTATAGAGCAAAATTTAAAATGTTTAACTAAATGAAAATTGAGTTGAAAACTGAAAAAATTTAGTATAGAGGATGTTTGAGAAGTTTTAGAATATTTTCAGTAATCTTTGTAACGCTTCAACTATCTAACAGCGTATACTTACTGCTATTTATTAGTATGAAAAATATTCCACATACGCCCCAAAGTTCAATTAAAATATTTTGCAATGAAATCACTTCTGTGCAAAATTCAAAATTTTTGATCTTCATTGAAAAAAATGCATTTTTGTTTTAAAATTCAAATTTTGTATAAAATTTTTAATTTTTCGATAAAATTTTAAATTTTCAATCAAAATTTTTATTTGGTACTAAATTTAAATTTTTGGGCAAATTTATAAGTTTCTACTAAATTTTAAATATTGAACTAATTTTTAATTTTTAGCGAAATTTTAAATTTTGTGCTAAATTTTAAATTTTGTACTAAATTTTAAATTTTGTACTAAATTTTAAATTTTGTACTAAATTTTAAATTTTGTGCTAAATTTTACATTTTGTACCGAAGTATAGTCTAAACTATAGCCTATAATTAAGACTATAGTTTACAGACCAAACTAAACTCTATAGTCTAGACTATAGTCTACAGCCCTGACAATAGTCTATAGTCCATACTATAGTTAATAGAAATAAAACTATAGACAAAAGTCCAAATTTATAAATAGAGCAATATATGTAATCTCGCTTAAATAAAACAACTTAAAATCTTGATAAAGCCTCAAATATTCTTTCTATTTGACCTCAATAGTCGATCAAATTCAAACGGCATAATCGCCATTGTTAAAAACCATATAAAACATTTCATACACTATAACGCATAGTACACATCCCCTCCCCCTTCCTGCTTTCATTTACTATCTTTAATTTACGAATAGAATTTCAATCATTCATGTTTAACACATGTAACTTAGACAGACTTGTTGATGTTGTTTGTATTGTGAAAATTCATTGAATACCATACACCATCACCACTACCATCGTCAATATAAACTGGCAAAGTAACTCTATCTCTCTCCGACGCTCTGTATACTGCTGCTGCAGTGTAATAATAATAACGATGATTAGAAACGAGAATGAATAACATACATATACATACATACTTGAAAAAATTTCACATTCAATTTCGAAATACCTTGCAGTTTCAAAGGGGAGCAAAATAAATTAATATCCTCGCGAGTTACTCACCAAGTCACTTGAATACTTGTGAGTAACTCGCGAGGATACTTGGATAACTATACTTGATTGCCAACAATTAACGATTTTATGTTTGTATGTCCCGTATGTTACTATCGGGTTGTGTGTGTATGTGCTTTCCTATTAAAACATTTAACAACATCGTTTACATATCATTAGGTTTACCCGAAGTACATACATACCGACAAACATTATTATATATATGTTATACATGTATGGATTTGTAAGTGTTTGTATGTATGAGTTTATAAATGTTTTGCGTGTTTTGTGGGCGAAGTGTAAAAAAGGGAAACGTTATATGTTAAATTATTTGTTTATACATGCAATATGAAGAAGAAATATATACATACATACATATCCAATATATACACATTTATACCAGTATGATTTTTATACATATAAAGATAAACCGAAAAGTCTTTTCAATAAGGAAAACAATTAACTTAATACTGTAAACATAACAGTGATAGTTAATTTTAGTTTATAGATCAGACTATAGTCCAGACTATAGTTAATAGTACAGACTGTAGTATACAGTCCAGACTATAGTCTATAGTCCAGTGTATAGTCTATTGTCTATAGTACAGACTACAGCCTATAGTCCAGACTATAGTATATAGTCCAGACTATAGTCTATAGTCCAGACTATAGTCTATAGTCCAGACTATAGTCTATAGTCCAGTCTATAGTCTATAGTCCAGACTATAGTCTATAGTCCTGACTATAGTCTATAGTCCAGACTATAGTCTATAGTCCAGACTATAGTCTATAGTCCAGACTATAGTCTATAGTCCAGTGTATAGTCTATAGTACAGACTATAGTCTATAGTCCACACTATAGTCTATAGTCCAGACTATAGTATATAGTTTAGACTATAGTCTATAGTCTATAGTCCAGACTATAGTCTATAGTCTAAACTATAGACTACAGTTCAGACTATAGTCTATAGTCTAGACTTTAGACTACAGTCCAGACTATAATCTATAGTCCAGACTATAGACTATAGTATATAGTACAGACTATAGTCTATAGTCCAGACTATAGACTATAGTATATAGTACAGACTATAGTCTATAGTCCAGTGTATAGTCTATAGTACAGACTATAGCCTATAGTCCACACTATAGTCTATAGTCCAGACTATAGTATATAGTTTAGACTATAGTCTATAGTCCAGACTATAGTCTATAGTCTAGACTATAGACTACAGTTCAGACTATAGTCTATACTCCAGATTATAGTCTATAGTCCAGACTATAGTCTATAGTCCAGACTATAGTCTATAGTCCAGACTATAGTCTATAGTCCACACTATAGTCTATAGTCGAGACTATAGTATATAGTTTAGACTATAGTCTATAGTCCAGACTATAGTCTATAGTCTAGACTATAGACTACAGTTCAGAATATAGCCTATTGTTCAGACTATAGTCTATACTCCAGACTATAGTCTATAGTCCAGACTATAGTCTATAGTCCAGACTATAGTCTATAGTGCAGGCTATAGCCTATTGTCTGACAGGTTTTTTATAATAACTTTTCATTCCCAACTCGTATAAACACATTGATATGTTTTGTATGTTACAATTGCCTCATTGTTATTGGTGGGTAAACATTTTATGTTTATTGCCAGTTAATTTATTAGTTCAATAATTGAAATTTGATTGAAATTAATTACAAAACTATATATTATCTTAAATACAAATTACAGCAATAACAACAACAACAACATAAGCATTATAAATATACATAAACAAACACATTTACTATACATCAATTGCGTATAATATTGTTGTTATTATCTTTAAATTGTATCATGATATATGAAATATAATTATAAATGGTTTAATTTACAAAAAATTAACCTTTTTTGAAAATATTTTAATAGGCGATTGATTTCCTAAATGTTTAATTGTTTAATTTGTATTTTTTTTTTTGTTTTCTTTATACAGCTGTCGTCGAAGAACCCGAATTTACTGAATATATTGAAAATGTTACTGTACCTGCTGGACGTAATATTAAATTGGCCTGTTCGGTTAAAAATCTAGGATCCTATAAGGTAAGATTTTTATACAAAAACGTAAAAAATATTTAAATTTAATAAACTTTAAAATATAAAACCTCTACAACCTCTATACCTCATTCTCCCCTCTCAAATAAGTCATATACATTATGGTCACTAAAATACCAAAAAACCACAATAATGTTCAATTCATTTACCCTCAAATCAACAGTTTGCCAAGCCACAAAATCAACACATTTACACAGAACAGCACACACACATACAGATATACCCAAAGAGTGGCATACAAATTAATGGCAATTAACACATCGCTTAATTTGTAGTTAAAATACCAAAAATTTCATTTGAAATTAGTATTCCAAAGGAAAGCATTTTAGCAGTAAAGGAGTTCAGTAAACGTAAAGTCAGGGGGTTAACTACATAGTTTAAGTAGGGTAAATTTGTGTTTCTAGCTAAACAAAATTACTAATGCTATCTTGAAATTACTACATATTTCCTATAAATTATAATTAAAGTGAAATCTGTGGTTTAATTATATAAAAGTTCTTGTGCTTTTTGAAAAAAAGTAATTTTATTACTTTTTATCCTTTACTTAAGTGAGGGACAACTGATGGAAATGAATAACTGACTGATTGTTAAATATGAATTAATGTCCACAAATTTGATGCAGTCATTTACACTTATGACTTTAAATGTTGATTAAAATTTATTTACAAAACATTAATTTGCAGAAATTAAAAACACAAACAAAGTAACTGTTGGATTAAATGAAATGTAATGAAATAAGTTATGAAATTTTAACAGAAAAAATAAATTTTTACGAATAAATGAGTACTTGAACAGTACTTAATAAAAAAGTACCACAAAATACATTGTTTTAAAAAGTACTCTACGTTAAATAGGGAAATAAAAAGAAATGTTTTATACATTGAGTGAAAAAGTTCTTTTTCTGTTCTAGTTCTGTTCTAGTTCTGTTCTAGTTCTGTTCTAGTTCTGTTCTAGTTCTGTTCTAGTTCTGTTCTAGTTCTGTTCTAGTTCTGTTCTAGTTCTGTTCTAGTTCTGTTCTAGTTCTGTTCTAGTTCTGTTCTAGTTCTGTTCTAGTTCTGTTCTAGTTCTGTTCTAGTTCTGTTCTAGTTCTGTTCTAGTTCTGTTTCTAGCTTTATTCTAGTTCTATTCTAGTACTGTTCCAGTTCTGCTCTGTTTTATTTCGTTTGTAGTGTTTGTCAGATATCGTTAGTATTGCCGCTTTTTAATACATATATATATCCCTGTCTTATTTAACCACCAGTCCAGTTATATGAAAAATACTTAATTACTACTCTATACTGGGACCGTATAAAAATATTTAAAAAAATAATAGCCATAATAATGATAAAAAAAAACTATTTCTTTTATTAAATATCAATGTCACTCGACAAAACCAATAAATAATATACAATCAGGCACATATAGAAAAATTATTAACATTCTCTCTCTACTTCTCTTTTGTCAACGTTTAAAGTAAAAGTTGCAGTCATTTGCCATTAAATACGCTGTTCATTCATATATTCAGTCATTCTTGCAACAAATTAATTTTACGCCTCAATGATGATCATAAATGTGATGTGTGCAGTGCACATTGATGGCAGAAAAAAAATGAAGGAATAAATTAATAATATCAGTTACCTTTAGTCAATGAATTTGAAAATATATACACATTACTATAATAAGTATACATATGTAGAGAAAACCCAGTAAACATTTTCTCATTTATGAAAATATAGATAACAACAATTAATTGCAATTGTTTTAAACTTTATTATTACAGGTGTTTCAAATATGTATATTATAAATGTCTTTGCTACCAAGTGACAAACATTAACTTGTGTGTTTGCTGGGTTATATTATACTTGCATGACTGACTTTGCAGACAATTAATCCTGTCTTTTTTGACTTTCATTCAAACTTGTTATTGTTTGTTTAAATGCTTTAAAATTTAAATGAAATATAAAATTAATATTAAAATATCCAACCACTAAAAGTTGTAAAAAGAAGCAGCAAAAGAAAGCCAAGTGTATAAAAATTTTTAATAAAAACAACAACAAAATGCACATATTCGCACACACATACTTACTACCTATACATATTTATTCATTTATTCTCACACTTTTTTTTCGTACTTTCATTATTCAATTTTTTTTATATTGTTGCTTTGAGGAAAGCTTTTGGTGGCATTAAAAAAATATATCTACCACATTTAAAGGATGCACTTGGGAATTCAACAGGATTCATCAGTGCATTCATCATTGCAATTTTATACCCACAATATAACACTGGCAGAGAGACAGACAGACTTACAGTCAAACTGACTGACTGTCAGTAAAATAAAAGTAAAAAAGTAAAACTGAAATTTGAGCCACATTTAACACTGGCAACATGCCTGGAGACAAAAGGAAAGGAATACAAAAAATTAAATCCAAGTGTTTATCCCCCAAACTCTGCCAAATATAAATAAGTAAGTGCAACACAAACAGTTGCACATACATACTACACTCTTGCCTCTTATAGTAACAACAAGTGAAACGAAGTGGCAGCCAACAATCACTGCCTTTACGCGTAAATACCAGTAAAATAAAACAGCAACATTAAATGTACATAAAAATGTTAAACAACAACAAAGTTAACAATAAAAAACTCGCTGTAACCCAACAAACAAAATAACAAACGGTTAAAAAGGTGGTAATTCTCCAAGGTTTCTCGATAAAGAAATTCTCCATGTTTCACAAATATTTTATTTGACTGTAATTTGGCCTTATACATATAATTAGATTTTATCAATTAATGAATCTAAAATCATATACATATCATGTACATACATACTAATAATCATACAACTGTGTATGTTGGAAATTTGCATACACTTTACAATTATTCTTAAGGAGTTGTTTTGTATGAGTATGTCCTTGTAGCTTGTTTATGGATTTTTTCATGCTTCCTTTTTTATACCGATACTTGTACAGGATTATGTTCAGCTTAATTTGTGTGTCATAGGATTTGCAACATGGTGACATGTTAGTTTAAAGATCCTTAATAAAAATACTTCGCAACTAAATTTCAATATAAAAAGAAATGTCTATTCTAATTCTGTTCTAGTTCTGTTCTAGTTCTGTTCTAGTTCTGTTCTAGTTCTGTTCTAGTTCTGTTCTAGTTCTGTTCTAGTTCTGTTCTAGTTCTGTTCTAGTTCTGTTCTAGTTCTGTTCTAGTTCTGTTCTAGTTCTGTTCTAGTTCTGTTCTAGTTCTGTTCTAGTTCTGTTCTAGTTCTGTTCTAGTTCTGTTCTAGTTCTGTTCTAGTTCTGTTCTAGTTCTGTTCTAGTCTGTTCTAGTTCTGTTCTAGTTCTGTTCTAGTTCTGTTCTAGTTCTGTTCTAGTTCTGTTCTAGTTCTGTTCTAGTTCTGTTCTAGTTCTGTTCTAGTTCTGTTCTAGTTCTGTTCTAGTTCTGTTCTAGTTCTGTTCTAGTTCTGTTCTAGTTCTGTTCTAGTTCTGTTCTAGTTCTGTTCTAGTTCTGTTCTAGTTCTTTCTAGTTCTGTTCTAGTTCTGTTCTAGTTCTGTTCTAGTTCTGTTCTAGTTCTGTTTAGTTCTGTTCTAGTTTTGTTCTAGTTCTGTTCTAGTTCTGTTCTAGTTCTGTTCTAGTTCTGTTCTAGTTCTGTTCTAGTTCTGTTCTAGTTCTGTTCTAGTTCTGTTCTAGTTCTGTTCTAGTTCTGTTCTAGTTCTGTTCTAGTTCTGTTCTAGTTCTATTCTACTTCTGTTCTAGTTCTGTTCTAGTTCTGTTCTAGTTCTGTTCTAGTTCTGTTCTAGTTCTGTTCTAGTTCTGTTCTAGTTCTGTTCTAGTTCTGTTCTAGTTCTGTTCTAGTTCTGTTCTAGTTCTGTTCTAGTTCTGTTCTAGTTCTGTTCTAGTTCTGTTCTAGTTCTGTTCTAGTTCTGTTCTAGTTCTGTTCTAGTTCTGTTCTAGTTCTGTTCTAGTTCTGTTCTAGTTCTGTTTTAGTTCTGTTCTAGTTTTGTTCTAGTTCTGTTCTAGTTCTGTTCTAGTTCTGTTCTAGTTCTGTTCTAGTTCTGTTCTAGTTCTGTTCTAGTTCTGTTCTAGTTCTGTTCTAGTTCTGTTCTAGTTCTGTTCTAGTTCTGTTCTAGTTCTGTTCTAGTTCTGTTCTAGTTCTGTTCTAGTTCTGTTCTAGTCTGTTCTGTTCTGTTCTAGTTCTGTAGTCTAGTTCTGTTCTAGTTCTGTTCTGTTCAGTTCTAGTTCTGTTCTAGTTGTTCTAGTTCTGTTCTAGTTCTAGTTCTAGTTCTGTTCTAGTTCTGTTCTAGTTCTAGTTCTGTTAGTTCTGTTCTAGTTCTGTTCTAGTTCTGTTCTAGTTCTGTTCTAGTTCTGTTCTAGTTCTGTTCTAGTTCTGTCTAGTTCTGTTCTAGTTCTGTTCTAGTTCTGTTCTAGTTCTGTTCTAGTTCTGTTCTAGTTTCTGTTCTAGTTCTGTTCTAGTTCTGTTCTAGTTCTGTTCTAGTTCTGTTCTAGTTCTGTTCTAGTTCTGTTCTAGTTCTGTTCTAGTTCTGTTCTAGTTCTGTTCTAGTTCTGTTCTAGTTCTGTTCTAGTTCTGTTCTAGTCTGTTCTAGTTCTGTTCTAGTTCTGTTCTAGTCTGTTTCTAGTTCTGTTCTAGTTCTGTTCTAGTTCTGTTCTAGTTCTGTTCTAGTTCTGTTCTAGTTCTGTTCTAGTTCTGTTCTAGTTCTGTTCTATTGTACTCTATTTCACTCTATTCTATTCTTAAGGCAGTGGAGCCTTAAGAAAATTATTAAGTTTTACAATTAATCAGTAGAAGAATTGAAAGCTTTGCTAATGAAATTCATTTATACAAATTCAATTCATTCATTCTGTTTTTTACACAAAGAAGTGTAACTCAGCTATTGTTACTGCAAATGATTTTTTTACAAAAACTTTATTTTTCCGCAATTATTATAGTGCGACAAATGTCAGCTGGCTGTCAGTTAAAATGTTTGCTTTTATTCCTTACTTTT